GCTCTTAATAACAGCGGCTACGACCACCAACTCATCTTCAACCCCGAACCCCTGAAAACGAAACGCCCACGCAATAGGAACATTATATGGTTCAACCCCCCGTACAGTGCTAATGTCAAGACCAACATCGGTCACAAATTTCTACGGCTAGTTGATGAATGTTTCCCCCAAGGCAATGCACTCAGGAAAATTTTCAATAGAAACACCCTGAAACTAAGCTATAGCTGTATGCCTAACGTTGAAACAATTATATCATCGCACAACAAATCTGTATTGACTAGAGAATCTCAGAAAAGCAGCAACCATAATAGCAATTATAACACTATCAAAAAATGCAACTGCCGCAACAAGAGTGAGTGCCCATTATCAGGCAAGTGCCTCACCGAGGGAATAGTATACCAAGCCACCGTAACGAGATGCGACAATTCAGCCATAGAAACATACATCGGATTAACAGGGAACAGCTTCAAAAAAAGATACGCTAATCACACCAGCTCATTTATAAATGCTAAACATAAGAACAGTACTGAACTAAGTAAAAATACATTTGGACTTTAAAGAACAATAATGTGCAATATTCAATTCAATGGAAAATCATGAAGCAATGTAAGGCTTATACAAATGCTACCAAAAGATGTAACCTCTGTCTACATGAAAAGTTTCTAATAATCCTGTCTCTTATACACACCTAGATGTGTATAAGAGACAGTTATATAGCCTTGCTACTACTACTACTTGGTAGCATTTGTATAAGCCTTACATTGCTTCATGATTTTCCATTATATGTCTAGCAATTAAATGCAGTGATAATCTATTAGCGCATAATCTATTAGCGCATGATCAACTATAGACAATAGGCCATCCAATGTGACTAGCTATACCTCTCTTTTAATCTCTTTTTATATCAGTTGCACCATGGACCTATTAATAAGGTCCATGGTTTAAGACCATGGTCTTATTAATAGGTCCATGGTTGCACATAGGATACCAACTGATGAGTGTGGTCAGCTTCGCTGATCATACGAAACAGATTTGTAGTGGGAAATAAAATGATGAAGTAAAAAAAGTTCGCCTCTGTTCTTTATTATATATATATATATATGTATATATATATATGTATATATATATATATATAGAAAATAATTAAACAACTTCAGTAGTAGACTTTAAGAACACTGATTTATTATAAACTCGGATATTTCTGCCACTCCTGTGGCCTTCATCAGCGAGAATGAGGAAAACATCATGAATCAATATAATATAGGCTGTCTTATCAAAAAAGAATAAAGGTGACAGAGAGCAAATGAGGAATACTTATAAAACTGTACAATGATTGGTCTATTTATCTATGCAAACTGAGTATCTACAATAATAAAGAACCAAAGGTGTTAATTGCAGAGACTAGTCAAATAAACTATCCATTGTATTGGCCAGCACAACACAGATAAGATGGTTATTTCAGAGAAATGGATCATATAGAGATTGTAACTGAGCCAACTGTAGGAAGACCTAATAATATAACGTATGTGTGTGTGTGTGTACGTATGTATGATATGCATGTAATTTATAAATATAACTTGCGGGAGTAAATTTTTGACATGAATTTGTTGTTTATTACTTTAGATCATATAACAGCAAAAAGGAAGAACCAGTGGTTCAGGAAATGGGTGATTATATCACATCAGTAAATACACCAACCTGTCTGCCAACTACTGGCAATAATGATGCTGTTGCAGCGCAATATATGGACGGATTCAGTAGTGATAATACTCCTCATACTTATGATGAAATTCCAAATCCTAATACAGGGTATGAAGTAGTTCTTCCAACCAGTGGTATTGAGATTGTTGTTGCGCCCCAATCTACGGAAACACAGTTGGTGAATGTTCCTCCTGCAGGACAATCTTTGGAGAATCATAGGAGTGATAATACCCCTCATGTTTATGATGACATTCCAAATCCTAATACAGGGTACAGGGGCGGATCCAGAGATGTCCAAAAGGGGGGGGGGCCGAAATTATGGCCGATCGCCACAACAATGACCTAGGGGGTCCGGGGGCATGCCCCCGCGAAATGTTTGTGTTCTAGACGCCTGAAAATAACATTTGAGGCGTTGTGGGCTATCATTTTTTTTCTTTTTCTTTCTTTTTTTCTTTTTTTATTTCTTTTTTTGACCTTCCCCCCTAAATCCGCCCCTGGGGTATAAAGTACCTCTGCCAACCAGTTACGTTAATGTGGCGTGTGAACATCTTTACGTTAAGGTTGACTAATGCTTGCCACTGTTATTCAATAGCGGCTTTAGGATACATTTGGGCGGGGAGATTTTATAAAGAAAAAAAAAACCCAGAAAAAACATACACAAAGAGCAAATACAGAGTCAAATTGTGAAAAAGACCTAAACCTAAAGAGTAACAGTAAAATTTATAATAGTTAATTAAAAAATCAATAAAACTAAATTAGATAAACAAGGAAGTTATAATTGAAATTTTATGCAAAGATTTTTAAAATATTAAGGTGCAAAATTTGGAAAATATTGCTCAATGGGTGTGGATTATTAATTATTGTTTAAATATGATTCTATCAAACTTTATAATTACAACACAAAATCAACATTATAAATTAATACATTTTTTATACATTAATCATCAATTAAACATTTACAAAGTGAACATGTTTTAATGTATATACATTATTTATAGGAAACATTAAAATTAACTTATACAAAATATATATAATTACAACATGAAATCAACATTATTATTAATACATGTTTTTATACATCAGTCATCAATTAAAAATTTACAAAATTAACATTAACGCTAGAACTGTAGAGACCGCGTTATATTTACATTAAACAACTTCACGGTAGTTTAGTGTTAAGTATTTTAATCATATTTAAGCAAGTATTAGGTATATATATTTTTAACGTTAAGTTTTAAAGACTTTTATGTATCTTAATATTTCATTTAGTTCCTGACGAAGGAGCGAGGAGCGCGGAAGCTCAAATAAAGTGAATGCATTTTGCTACATCCAAGCGATATAATATTTCTTCAATTTTTAAATATATCATACTGTGCCCGTTATGGGCCTCAGTGGTCTAACTGCAGGACCTTGCCGAGATAGCATTAGTTCGCCGGTTCCACTCCCTCCAGAGACCTCTTTTTCATGCAACTACAAGAAACTTTCGTTGATGAAATATGGGGGATATAATTTATTACATCATGTTCCTGTATATTTGAGCATTGCA